CGCCAGTGCTTCCGCTGCTCCGACATCACGAACGCCGAGAACGTCTTCTTCAACAGCAGTCTGAAGCTGCTCACCAATGGTACGTGTGCGGTAGCCGTTAGAACAAAGGTCAGCACTTGTGTAGAATCCCTGTCATGGCTATTCTGACCTTGTACAGTAATCAAAGGCCTGCACGACTGTCTTAACAATTTCTCAATATTGTTTATGTTCCTCGCCATGACTGTCTGACGGTTTTACCGTCGTCCTGAAAGTCTTTCATCGTCATCGTTATTTGTTCTCGGTGCGGCAGGCGCCCAGTTTGACGTCTCGTCCCCGGAGCGGCCAGTGCTCTGTCAGACAGCCGTCACCTCCGACCACCGGTTCATCCGGTTCGAGCCGACCCAGGGCCAGGCGCCGCCCGAGAGGGTCGAGGTGGCGCGCATCCTCTCCACAGAGGTCACACAGTCCACCATTGAATATGGTGAGTACTGGCTACGCGTGTCGGTCGTGCAGTTGATGATGCGGATCTTGACTTAAGTATGCTGGCTAGCTGTTGGTACCGTGTGTGAGTGCCCAGCAGCACACGACTTAGTAGATTGGTGGTGGATGCCGTTGGATTGTCCGGTAAGAGCGGCCGTCGGTGACCGATCATTGCCCAGTCTGTGATTGGGTGTGAAGTTTGATTGGGTGAAGGAATGGTAGTGTTCGCTAAACTGAAACTAGAGAAAACGTCGCCATTGATGCCTGTTTTGTTCCAATGTAGAATACTCTGAGGACGCAGACGGTGAGATTAATGTCGCACAACACGATCTGTGTCTGCTTCATCCTCATTATTGTCGAAACTTTTCAATTGTCACGGTCTTTGGATGACCTTGTATCGCTGTCTGGTCATTCGAATGTTTCGGTTTTTAATGCTGCATGTCCATCCTGGTGCTTTGTTTGAATGCTCCCAGGCATTTTAAGTTTTGAGTGCGTCCTTGACTTTTTGATTATGGGGGCATGGACGACAAAGCAGACCCTTGTGGTGCATGTAGTGGCATGTCACAGAAATGTCTCTGAACCGACAGCTGTTCGTAAATCTTAAACATGTTAAGAAAATAACATTAACTCCCAGCGAAAATCATAAGTAGAGTAATACGCACGACAATCAGGCAAATAAACCTTTCCGGACAGTCGCACGTCATAATTGACCCACATTACGAGTCGGACCGCGTGTTACGGGCTGATGTGCTATAAAATGTGCTGTGTATGGAATTTGCATTACATAAGTATTCGTGCACAAAATGCATGTCTGCTGCAACTGTATCCGTATAGTTACGCAATCGCTGATGTGCGACGCATTAGTTTTCTGTAAACGTAAAAGTACGGTGTTAGTACAGCCGGTATCCGTGCCACACAGGAAAACTTTTTGTTAAAAAATAGTCCCGTGCGTAACTGACTTTGGATCGTGAATGGAGATATCTCCGTTACATTTTTATTTGCTGGATCCTAGATACAGGTTGGCCAATTAAGTCGGCAGTGTCCTATTTGCACGTCCCATGCGGCCTTCCTGTTAACGAGTTTCGGTGTTTCAAGGGCGCTCTTTGTTTCACCAGTTTTATTTGGGTTAATTGTTAAGTGGTGCGGAAATATTCCGTTAAATTACAGCGCTTTTAGTTTCCCCATCGTGCCAGGAGATGTCATAGAACGCTTAGCTAAATAATGTTTCTCTGGAAACTTCAAAGCAGCTTCTTTTTGGTAGTTTTACAATTGTGACATTTTTAATTGCTCGTTTACAAATGAATGAATGTTTTTAGATAAAAACCAATAGCCATTAATTTGCTAGCCGCAATATGTTGCATGTCGAGCATTGCGCAGCTCCACTGTTCCAGATAAATTCTTCAGGCTCCGGCTCTTTTTATTTGATTTCATGCACAGTTTTTAGCATTGTTTATCGTGAAATGTTTACCAATCGTTCTTGGAATAGGTTCTACTTTATTTAGACTTTCTATTTGCGCTGTAGCTGGTGCTGGGACCGTGCTATCTTTTCTACCAATCAACCTATTGTGTCGGAGAAAGTATTCGCTTAGCGTCATCTTCGCCCTTCAATGACGTTATAATTATCCAACTTAATGATGCGGTGTCTTTCCTGAATCCTGTGTTTGTTTGTGATTGGCACAGTGTTGTGCAGCTGTTGTTTCTTTCTTTAAAATGTTTGGTACTACGTCTTTCATTGTGTCCACTTTCCCTCCACGGGACAGTAATTGCAGTTGGGATAATTCCTTGATGGCTGGTTTCGTGAAGGTGCTAAGGTGACTCTTCCCACTTAGACGCGCCGTGTGAGGTTTTAAGGCATGCTGATAGTATATTTAAGGAAAGCGTCTCTTACATAAACGTTCATCAACATAAACATGAACTCAGACGATTTCGTCATACGATACGATGTTAACTAAACGCGAAGCGAGGCTAGCTGTTGAAAATGTTCTGTAACAATGGTCACTGAATGCCGTGTATGGAAATCACTTCTGACCATTCATCGGTAGAACATTACCCGTACAGTAACTCTCCACTCTAAACCTATGAGTGCTTCACCCTGGTGACCCCCGCTGACCCGCCCCCATCCGGCGGCGTCCACAGCTCCGGGCCAGACGCTGCCCGAGGCAGTGGTGGTGCTGTACCGCGTGCCCGGGTCGGTGGAGGAGCGACAGGTGCGCCTCAGCGCCGGACCGCACGTCAACGACTGGAGACTGTCGACCAACTGGATCGTGGCGCTGGAGAGGGTGAGAGAGGGAGTGAGGGGGATAGGAGAGCCAGCGAGACGCATAGTAAGCGCGAATAGCACGGGATGAATCGAATGAAGTAATCGAATAAATTTATCTTTGGGTTTCGGGTCAGTCTTCGAACGCGATGGTCAATGGTCGTTTCTGAAGACCGCTTGAAATGGTCCTTTCGCCGCGTTGGATATGCTTTTCTTTGGAAGAATATCCGGAAATTGACGTGAATTAGTGGTAAATCCATCTTCTCTCATCTCATTTGTGCTTGAATTCGTATGTGCTCACTGATTTCTGACGCATACCTATCTGTTTGTCCGTAGGCTCTGGAGCTGGTGTATGAGGGCCGTCAGCCCAGTCAGCACTAACTCCTCCCACACCGAGTCGTCTCCCCAGTCGCCCCCCGTGCCGCACTCTATGCAGTGAGCGGACCCCCGGCCAGCCCCGCCACCAGGCCTCCCGTTGGGTCTGCCGGTTGGCCGTGTACAGCGGAGTGGCGCCCCTGAACCGCAGAGGGGCACTGCTGGGAGGGGCTCCCCTCCGGTCATATGAGAGGCCGGCTGCAGACTGCGATTGTTTCACGTTACGCTAAACCCGATCGGCTGGTTCTGTTTTCCGTGGTTGGAACGGCCCATCGCTCTGCTAGAAATCGTATAAAGACGGATTGGCATGAACCGGGGTCACGACTGACCGAAGTGTAACTATAGCAGGTACGGTACCGCTGAGACATGTGTGTCTCACCCAGCGGCTCGTACCGTGGGGCCATGCATGTTAAATCGCCGAGCCGTGTGTAACTATGTTGTATAGCGCCCCTCACCAGTTAATGTGCTGTGTATACTGACGGCGATGGAAGCCGATGAAGCTGATGATATTGACGTCTTCTCGCGACTTTGTGAGTGGTTGAGAGATCGCTCACGTGTCCGCCATGTTGTTATTGATATGGTAATCGGCTTTGTTATCCTTTATGCTGACGTACACTGCACTGTTATTGCCGTGTTTATTGGCTTCCTGTAATGATTTTGAATCTCCTGCCTTTTATCTCTATACTGACCAATTTCGCTTACGATTGTGAAGCGTCTATTGCGGCCATTCTTTCTTTTCTTGTGCCATAGCCGGTCGTCTGATGTTAGTTTAGTTATCAGTGTCGCAGCGGTGATATTGCTGCGACACCCGGTGTTTATTCGCCGTCATTTACCATAGTTTATCGCAGGGTGTACCTATGTCCGACACAAGCTGAGTGTCGGCTCGTCACGAGTGAGATTGGGGCTTTCGCATGTTGAGAGAGAAGCGCCACGCTGCCCGACTTCCGAAGGAGTTTGTTGGCTTTCTCAGCGTCTATGTGTGTGTGTGTGTGTTAATGCCGGCTGTTTTTGGCGACATGTGAGGACCTCGGACGGTGACGTGAGGACACAAATGAACAGCCCGCTTCCACAGCTGTGCAGGGACGGCCACAGGTGCGGCTGCCGCATCTGGTCAGCCGCCTATCCGGCCACCCAGCCGTCGCCGACGGGCCGATTGCAGGAACTGATATTTGTCTATTTTTCAATAAACTGCGTCTGCTATGTGAGTCATTGTCCTCAATGTCGGGTTTATAGCTTAGGGTGATGTCATTCGAAGCTTCGATGCCTATGCGACTGTTTTCCTGGAACTGAAGAGTGTTCAATATAGCAAACCGTAGCTGGTTACGTAGATAGACACAGCTGGTCCCCGGTTAGCCATCGTAGTTCATTTTTGTAAAATATTAACGCTTACGAGTTTTACGTACGTGATGTCGACGTTATGGACAGTGAACTGATTCAATGCGCCAGCTGGCCCCACAAGTGCGTGGTAATGCGGAAATGTCATTCACTGTCAGCTTCGTTGAATCCGATTCCTTGGAAAAGGTATCGCAGCTGCCATTAAAACTGAGCCACTCCGCATTTAGCCTTCCTGTACCGAGGCGAGGTCCTCCTGGAGTTCGCGAGTTTCCGCTGAATGTTCGAACGAACGACGCTACACTGTACTGAAGCAGGCTGCAGTTTCTCGTCAGTGCTGACTGCGAAACTCAGGAGTCACGCCGAGTCAGAGATTGCGTCAGTATATCTCGATCGAGTGTATGCGGCCGGTTCCAGGTCCTTGGCTGATACTGACCGCTATGCTCAAATATTTTCATTTGGTTTGGCATCGGTGGATGAAGAGCAGGTGGAGGGAGACGACAAAAATAACCGATAGTTTGAAAGAAATGAGCTTAATTTCCAGATTTCGACTATAGCAACCTGCCAACCAACTGGATCTTGCAAACATGTTTATTTTCATCGGTCGAACTTTCATATACATAATACAGTGCTGGGCATACGTACAACGCATGCGTACGGGTTCTTACAATCGCGAATAAATATGCAAACATCAGAAATAACATTTTGTGACCCAATGCAGCCACGTATCACTTACCGCACCTATAAACACTGACATTGCTGTGGCCCACAATGGAATGAATGACCTAAGGTCCTAAAATATCGGGTAAACTTTGTGACCGAACAGAAGAGAAAAAGTGCATGGGGCAGCAGGAGTTATACGCACCACATGACAAAGTCCATCATCAAAGGTAGCCCCTGTAGAGCATCGTCGCTTTGGTTGTGGCAAATTTCCGCCGCTTAAACCTAGAATATCCGGTAGATATACAGGCGGATTGGCACTTCACTTTGTGGCAATTATCAGTATAATCCTGAACCTACTGCTCTGTGCTATTTGTGATGATAGAATAGCATCTACGTACTGGTGCTCGGAACAGAGAACTTAACAAAGAGGAAGTCAGTGAAGGTGACCACGGAAAGATGGCTCACTATACAGTTGTTACGAGCGAGCGAGCGCAGCGAGCGAAGTGAGTCTTTTCAATATAACGGAAAAATCTCAGTATGAGCGGCCCGGCCCGGCCTGTAACGCTTTTGAGAGGCTTATATCTCAGCAACCGCTGGACCGATTGGCCTGCGGTCTTTTTTGTTGGGTAGCCCCATCCCTTCTACCCCGTAATTGACTACTTTTGATACATCTCAGTGACCGTCGTGGCACGTGGCACGTGAAAAGTCAAGGGTGTTCAAGCTGTTTTGCAAAAGTAGTGATTTTGAGAGGCTCATATCTCAGCAGCCGCTTGGGCGATTAACTTGCGGTAATTTTTATAGGGTAGCAGCATCCCTTCTACCCAAAATAGGATACTCTCGATGCATGTGGGTCACCCCCAGTGCACGTGCAAAATACAACAATAAGAGGTGCCAAATTTGTTCCCATTTCAGTAACTCGGTAATTACTGGGGCGATTTCGCTGAAACTTGGCATACAGGTAGGCACCCACCAGGCAATGCATTCCCATGTGTTGCGGTTAGGGTGCTACTGCACGTGCGCACGTGCAGGGGGCGTTTCCAGATCTCGAGAACGGCTGGGCCGATTGCGCTCAAATTTAGTACACAGTTGGGGACCAGTTAGTAGGGTGCCGTGCAAAAGTCATTTTGGACCCCGTTTGCACGTGCGCACGTGCAGAATGCCGCTTCCAGATCTCAGGAACGGCTGGGCCGATTGCGTTCAAATTTGGCACACCGCTAGCGACCAGTTAGAAGGGTGCTTTGCGCAAGCCAGTTGGAAGCACCCTCTCGCCCTTCCGCACGTGCAGGGCTCACTATCTCGCTCGCTCGTTCGTCGCCCAAAAGGCGTTTTACTGGTGAATAGTGCAATAAAACTGAGTGGTCGCGAAGGCTTACGAAGTCACCTTTCAGTAACGGCCAGCCAAGGCTATACAAAACAGCATAGACGTATCGTGAGGGCAGTCATATTACAACGTGCGCACAAAATTGTCCCCGTGACAATGCCCAGTAAAAACTACATTTTACATGTTAGTCACTTGCACCTTCCCCACATCGTGAACAGCATCACAGCATCCGCCACCGTAACAAAACTCCACCGTAACAACGTACCAGACACCGTAACAATCCCGTGACACCGACACATACAGCACAGCTGCTCTGTGTGTCTGGCATAATACCCATTTCTTCACGTGTTCTACCCTCCACGCTCAAACCAGCCTACCAACGACAGCAGCTTCCAGAATTACCGTAGCAGTGCACTCAACAGCGTGGTATTCGCAAAGCAGACAGCGTCGACTTCGCCGCAGCTGCAGCCTGCCACGTCCGTTCCTGGCCGAGTGAGGCTGGTTTGAGGCACGGGGTCCGACTTCTCACACTCACGGCTGGGGGCTGAAGGTGCGATGGAAGTCCTCGCCGTGAATCTCGGGTGTGTAGGTGAACAGAACGATCATCACCCACAAATGCAGCAGACACTGGCGGAAAACGGGACGGAACATCAGTTAAATACGCCAACAGACAGTGGTTGAGGGCAAATGGCAAATCACTTACTATCCACATTCCACATTGACCAGCGGGTCGACTTGAATATCAATCAACAATACAAAATACGATCAAACATAAACTTATGAGAAAGCTGCGTGATGCACACTGTGCAATTAAATTAAAGCAGTACGGGTTAGCTGATACTATTGTAAGAACAACGCTTGGAAAAGGTCCATTTTGCTGTCAACATTTCTTCATGGAAAGTCAAATGGACCGTATAGAAACATGAAATGGATAGCGGGTCAGAAATGGCTTGATGTCCAAAGGCGTTATATCTTGATCAAATCTATGAAACGGCGAGCGAGGAACCACAAAACAGCAAATATAGACACGGATCCAAAGGTGTTCGTGTCTAGCGCTGCTCCAAACTAGCACCTAATCCTCGCCTCGCTTTCACTTTCAACGAAACGGTAGATCGATTGAGTAAAATTCAACGGTGGGTGATGCTATCTCAACAACTTTCAACTAGCCCGTGCCCGAATACCCATGTACGGCCCTGGTTAAAATGCCACTCCTAAACTTGAGCATTGTGAAAACAGCATTCGCCTCAACTGGACATGCATCAAGTCTACCTCATCATCTTTCTGCATCAAGACGCTGCAACACCTTATTAGCCTCTTTGTTCCCCCCTCACACACTCTGCCCTTTCTCCACGACCCAACCATCCAAATTCCAAAGCATCCACTATTCCCCCTCCCCCTCAAAAAAATAAACAAGCACCTCTAACCACCCCTTCTCAATCATTCTTCCAACCAGCCCCACACCCTTCCAACTCACCATGTACCCCAGCACAAAGATGCGCGCTATGGGATACCGTTTCAGGAAGACGCCCATTCTGACGGAGCAGGCGTCCAGGCTGGAGTAGGCGCGCTTCACTCTTCTGGTGACGCTGCCGTCCCACGGCGTCTCGGCCAGGAAGGTGGGTGTACGCAGCCGGACCGAGTCGGAGCCGACCTCCGAGTGGTACGGAGCCCGCTCCGAAGGCGGCGGAGCGCACCCTTCCAGCTCCCGTACCTGGGTCTGTAGTGGGTAGAGAGGAGGGAGGGGGTCAGGGATTTGTGAGGGTAAATGTGAGGTGAGCCTGTCGCCTGGGAAGATATTGTAGCTTCATGATCGCAACAAGGGTCGGTGACCGAGCATCGTAAGTCATATCTAAAGATCCAAAGAGTGAGCACAAAGATTGAACCATAGGAAGAAAAAAATGTGCAGCGGGACTAAGGAATGGATAAATGTATGAATGAATGGACGAATAAATAAATGAATGAGCGAATGAATGAATGAATGAATGAATGAATGAATGAATGAATGAATGAATGAAGTAACCAGTAAAACGCCTTTTGGGCGAAGAACGAGCGAGCGAGATAGTGAGCCCTGCACGTGCGGAAGGGCGAGAGAGTACTTCTAACGGGCTTGTGCAAAGCACCTTTCTAACCGGTCGCTAGCGGTGTGCCAAATTTGAACGCAATCGGCCCAGCCGTTGCTGAGATCTGGAAGCGGCATTCTGCACGTGCGCACGTGCAAACGGGGTCCAAAATGACTTTTGCACGGCACCCTACTAACCGGTCCCCAACCGTGTACCAAATTTGAGCGCAATCGGCCCAGCCGTTCTCGAGATCTGGAAACGCCCCCTGCACGTGCGCACGTGCAGTAGCACCCTAACTGCAACACATGGGAATTCATTGCCTGGTGGGTGCCTACCTGTATGCCAAGTTTCAGCGAAATCGCCCCAGTAATTACCGAGTTACTGAAATGGGACCAAAATTGGCACCTCTTATTGTTGTATTTTGCACGTGCACTGGGGGTGACCCACATACATCGAGAGTATCCTATTTTGGGTAGAAGGGATAGCTGCTACCCTACAAAAATTACCGCAAGTCAATCGCCCAAGCGGCTGCTAAGATATGAGCCTCTCAAAATCACTACTTTTGCAAAACAGCTTGAACACCCTTGACTTTTCACGTGGCACGTGCCACGACGGTCACTGAGATGTATCAAAAGTAGTCAATTACGGGTAAAAGGGATGGGGCTACCCAACAAAAAAGACCGCAGGCCAATCGGTCCAGCGGTTGCTGAGATATAAGCCTCTCAAAAGCGTTACAGGCCGGGCCGGGCCGGGCCGCTCATACTGAGATTTTTCCGTTATATTGAAAAGACTCACTTCGCTCGCTACGCTCGCTCGCTCGTAATAAGGAAACGAAAGAAACACCAGTCACTGCTTGCTAGATCAATTGTAAAAGTGAGTCTCCAAATAAATCTCATCGAATCGAGCCATAATGTCCATAAAAAGCCAGGAAATAGGCTCCCATCACAAGGCCAATCCCGCCGGCAGCCCGACTGACCTGCGACCGCTCCAGCTGCAGCTGCAGCGACTTGTTCTGCGTGCTCAGGGACTCGATGTTGGTCTGTTTCTGTATCAGCGCCTCCGTCAGTGACCTCAGACGGGTCTCTAGCTCCACCTCTGTAACACGGAAGAGAGCAGGCGTCAAGGATGAATTCGTGAATGTGACGCAAGTGAAACTGCCTCTCTTTGAGGACCCAATATGTCACCAGCGTAGCATGTCACCGTATGCACTATGCATTCGCATAGTGTTCAGCAAAAGAAGCCCCAGCCTCAGCTGTAAACTGTATTCAAAGACGTTTCCCTGTGGTTTATTTCCTGCAGATTTCCTTCGGCCGCCGTGGTTCGAACAGGACGTAGGACGGCGGCAGTTTTTCCTCAAAGGTCGATGTCCTGTTCGGCGGCTCGTCTGCCCACGGTGCCATGTCCGGCTCCCCGCTCCGCTGGCGTACCAGGGGGCGGGGAAGGGCTAACGACCGTGTAATGTGGGACGGAGACCCCATTTGGCGTCCGTGACACCCTTCTTGCTGCATAGTTGACAGGTGCGTTACGTAAGGCCGCGTGTCTGGCCGTGTGTGCGTGAACTGAGGCATTCGGTGATCTAGGTTGATGGCATCTGTTTGGTTAGCGGCGGTAATTTTGCCCAAATTAACTGCACAGGACCGGGCTAGATCGACACGAAAGAAGCGTTAAAAAGCCATCGGGATTTCCGTGGCACCAGTCATTCAAGTTTCTTCCACAAAACAAGGAAAGTCGCGTCCATGCAAATACCGCAATCAGCGGCCGTAAGGCTTATACGCGACCAGGATTCTATGAACACGGAACGTCGGGTTAGGCTTAATCACCAGTACATAGAAAACATCCCTGGTCCTTCGCATGAAACGCACACACCAAACGGTACTCAACCGGACATCCTTTTACGAACTAACTGAAAGCACAACAGCAGCATTCCCGTCTGAAACTGGACAATCACGATACATTCAAACTGACCTGCCAATTGCCATAGCACAAACTACATACCAAATCCGATACTCAATTAACAAAACTGTAATGTTCCCAGATGCGCCCAAATAACGACCAATCATCGAATGATAGCACAGCCCGGCCATCACACAGTTACACCTATAGACCAACCCTCTAAACCGTCACCCAGACACACCTGTACTGCTGGCGACGTGCTTAGAGGTGATCTGCCGCCTCAGCTTCTCGATCTCGACGTCTCGCTCCTGCAGCCGTGTCAGCGCCTGCGTCTTCTGCTGCACCATGTCCTCGCGCATGTAGCGCAGCTCCTGAAGCGGAGGGAGCCCATGACGTAAATGAAGTGGAATTGTTAAAGCACCCAGATTCATTGCGTCTTAGGCGAGACGAAAATGGTATCAGACAAAGCAAAGGAAAGCCGTCTTGCGTTTGAGGTAGAAGTTACTTGTGGTATGCCTTACCATAGTTTACCTTCGGTCTCTTTTGTCGAGGATCCATCAAATATTATTATGATCGTTGCCTTGTCCTTGTTTGAGGAAATCGAAAGCAAAGGCAGGCTCATCAAACTGCATAAACCAAACACATTGAAAAAAATGCTCATTCGGAAGTCCGAATAGAAATATCCGCATAGAAAACGTAGGGCATGTATGACGTGCTGCAGCCCATGCATGCTTAAAAATTCGTAACCCAACCGCGAAAATTGCGGAGCTTTTTTGCCTAGTTTTGTAGGGTTAGGCCCTTTCGGTCTGACAAGGCCTTTTCAGAGCTAGAGGGATGAAAGGAAATAAGGGAAGACAGTGGTTTGGGCGGCCACTCTGTTGCGCCGCCGGGGCTGAGCCCGGCACATGGACATTGGGCACTTGAACAGCTCACCCAGCCCCGCAACAGTCACTCCACCGCACGATGGGTTTGCTCCTGAGAAGCTACCCACGTCGAATAAAAGTGGCCGTCCAGCCCGGATCAAAGAGTTTGGGTCGTAGAGGAGAACTGTACTGAGGATGGAAGATGGCGGAGTGACTATACTTCCAGAACACTGACATTATCCTTTCGTTGTCTTTGCTGCTGATTAGTTGCCTTTATCGCTTGCATTCCGCGTCCCCATTCGTACCTGTTGAGCCGACTCGAGCTCCTTCTCCAGCTCCTGACGGAGTCTCGTCTCGGCCGCCTCGCGAGTCTCAGCCTCGCGCAGCGCCTCGCCGGCCGCCTGCGCCTCCTCCGCGGCGGCCGACTCGACCTGTTGCAGCTCGTCCCGCAGCTGCTGCACCCTAACGGCCAGTTTGTGCACTTCAGTCTGCGCCAGCTCCCGCTCGGAGCGCACTTGTTCCAGCTCGGCCTGAACCAGATCGCTGCTGTCTCCGTCCGAGCCGCCATGACTGCCCTCCTTCAGGCGCGATATCAGCTGATCCTTCGACTGCAGGATGCGCTGGGCTACAACACACCAAACGGAACCGGGTTAGCGTCATTACACAACCGAAAACACCCGGGGAATAAAAATACTAGGACGCCGGCCTAGTCCGGCTTCCACGGCCTAAAACGGTACTATCGGACCGACTACATAACGGTAGGCCATGTTTATCACCGATGGCATCACGGCTATCGCCGAAACGAACGCGGATTTACGTGACTCTGACACCTTGTGTTGGGACACATACGAGGTCGGCTGTGACCGTGATAGTCTGCCGCTATTGAACACAAATTCGGCCGCCAGGAAACACAAATCCAATTGGCAAAGATTAGTGTGTGATTCCGGTCTGGATTGGGGCGGATACAAACAGCCATAGTTAGCAAAGGGTGCAACTGAGGCTAGTCTGTGTTCCGAGTGGAATAGTACTGGCCCGGAGGAATGCAAGGTAGTTGTTACGTATAAGGAAATGTTGCAGTGTGTTAGATGTCATATTCCGCATTCCCGATGCTTGCATACCAGGATAAAATATTTGCAGAAACAATCCGCAGGTCAATGAAAGGGCTTAAACATGCCGCACACTCGCTGCCTACTATCTACAGATTGCCTCGTCGTTTGAAAGGGCTCAGGCCTTGAACAAAGACCATAAAAAATGAAGAGCGGACATCATGGCTCAACCACCGCCGACCGACCGGGGGCGCTAGCTCTGAGTTTTCGCTCGAGTACGAGTTTGCGCCACCTTTAAGTTCAGAGTGTATCTACTTTAACCATTGCCCTCAGACCGTGCTGACTCACTCAGACCTTAGAGTCTGTCCACTGATATCATAGCTTTGAGTTTATACTTTGTCTTTATCGCACCTTTATAGTTTGTCCTCTGTATCTCAGCCCGCCGTACCTTTGAGTTTTCAATCTAGCTCAGTTCGTCGTACCCTTTAAGTTTGTACTCTGTATCTGACTTTACCTTACCTTTGAGTTTGTACTCTGCCAGCTCTGCGGCGGTGCTCTGGGCCAGCTGTCGGCTGTCGGCCAGCTGCCGCTGCAGCTCGGCCCCGCTGCTCTGCTGCTGCTGCAGCTGCTGACGCGCTGAGGTCAGCTCGGACGTCAGCGTCTCCCGCTCCGCACACAGCTGCTCCAGTCTGGCAAAGGAGGGGGGTGGGGTCAGTGGAATAGACTGGTCACCGGCATGGGCAGGAGAGACACGGACTCGTTAGTGACACGGAGGTGAAAACAGGACAGAAACGTGAACACTGAACTTAATAACTGTCATCATGATTCCTCAAAAAGGGGCAGCTTCATTGATACACATTCGTCGGCCTATGACACCGTGTACGATCGGACTAAGAAGGGTCCAACTGTGTTTTTATTAGACAATGTGCTAATATTTACAGACAAGGCAGCGGCCGTACAAGTTTAATCGATCACTGGTCGCGCCCCATGTAGACATTTGACCAACACGACCGTTGCCAGCCACCGAGGTCAGGGACCACCGAACAAAGGGTGGCATGTCCTTGGTGCAAGTGCTCGTTCTTGGGAGCATGCGATCCATCAGCAAACACCAGCGGCCATAAAACGCCGCCCGGTTGGAAAGGTCCGGGCCTTGGGTGGCGGCGCCGGCCCGGAAACTGTCCATGGTCACGGTGAGCCCCCCGGTAACACATGGTAAACAGCTTCATCGATTCACGCGACGCCGTCTGGCGGCTTTTCAAACTGTGTACAGATCTCCACCGATTGCCGAAAGGTCGTTGTTTTACCAAAATTTGGGGTGTCAGGAGCCAAAGAGCACAAAATCACCGCCTCTACTTCCAGTGTTTTAGATAGTCGCTGAAACTTGGGTACCAGTTGATATTCATCACAATCTCATCTAAACGTTTGTTTGTTCACAGCGCCACCAACAGTGAAACATACGACACCATTTCGCCTGAGCGTAACCTTCTGAACCGTTACCATAACACCGGCCTCTTCCACGCCACACCGTGTACACAAACAAACTCACTCACACCCAGCCACACCAAACAAACAAGCCTACGCCCTCCTCCTAACGCCTACTGCACTTCAGACAGACCACCCTAGCCGCTGCAGCCTCACCCTCTTACGCTCTCTCACGCTCTCTCTTTCCCCTCACACCCACCTGCGATCGTGGCCCTGCTGTGCGGCAGTCAGCGCGTGCTGCTCCTGTCGTATGCGCGCCTCCGCCTCGTGCAGCCGGTCCTGGAGTCCCTGGATGGTGCCAGACTGCTGACCGGACGTGTCACTGGACGACTGAAGGATCCTGGACACGGGGAGCGGGTGGTCGTCAGACACGTGATATATCGAGCGATAGGATTACCAAAGAGGGGTAACTGGTCGTGACTGGCACCTGGCAACAACATAAATATAGAACAATTATACACTAAGACAGGTGGATGTCCAAGAATTCCAATAAATAACGGGAATAATGAAATTACATGTTCTTTACCTGTCGTTTTCCAGCTGTAGCCTGTCGACGGCCGCTTGACGGCTGCGCAGCTCCCCGTCCGCCTCGTCCAGGCGCACCTTGAGCAGGGCCAGCTGGCCGTCCTGACGATGGAAGGCCAGGTCAGATAAGGTCGCAAGTCGCGATACGCAACTGCTAAAATATGGCGCGATCCTTGACCTTGACAGTCATACCTTTAGAAACTGAACAGAAAGCAGACTGATACCTTGGAGGAAAGGTACCACAGCACTTCTTCAAAGTACGAAATACCACAATACTGAATGCCATTACCAATGCCCAGTTTCTCCAGCTCACATAATGACACCTAGGAGTGTCTCCCTCCCACTCACCCGGTTCACCCTCCATCCCTACCTTAGCCTTCAGTGACTCCTGCAGGTCGGCGTCTCGCTGCTGTAGGTGGCGACACTGGCGCTCCGTCTCTGTAACCTGAGAGTTGGCAGTCGACAGCTGGTACTTGAGCTTGGTGCACTCTGACGGTACAGAACAGGGCAGAGACAGGTCAGGGGCGCAGGTGACTAGGGTGATGTCCGTGATACAACACTAAGGAAGCTCGCAGTGACTGGGGTCAATCAACGTTCGTTACATCTACGCTTGGTGCTGCTCAAAATGGAGAAGAGTAAAATTATCTATAATACTCTCATACCATAGACATCCATTTAAATTTGGGTCAAACACAAGAAGACCAGCTGCTCCGTATCTTCTTCACCTCAGTAGACGTGCGCGACTGCCCATCAGCGACCGCGACTGACCCTTTTCGCCGAGTTTGGCGCGCTGCAGCAACTGCGCCATCTCCCGGTTCAGGTTGGAGATCTCCCGCTGCAGCATGCGGAGCTGATCCGACTCGGAGTGGTTCCCGTTCTCGACGCTAGGGGCGCCACCGGTCGGTATGGAGATGGCTGTGTCGGCCGGGGCGGCCGGAGCGGGCGGGGTCGGTGCTGAGGGGGGCACAACGACGAAGCAGATGAGAACAGGTTGGCGGAACAGTTTCACAATGGATGGGAGCAGCGCGGCATATGGTATAAGCAACGTTCGACTGTTTGCTTACTTGGCTGTTGGCACTGAGGCGAGCGATGAACATTGAGAGCCTACGATAAACCGACGGATCTTACCGGTCTCCTGTCCGGAGGCCACCGAGAGGAAGTTCCCGACGGACACCACGGAGGAGACACTCGACTGACGCGAGTGACCCGACGACTGAAATAGTTCAGAATGGTTGAATGAGGTGACTAGATACAACATAACACAGCGGAGTGAGAGGACTGGAATGGGCCAGTCAGTGTGAAAGGACTGAAACAGTTCAGCATGTCTGAGGCGACCAGGATCGAATCTGACCAGCATGAGAAGACTGAAATAGGACCACGTCTTCGATCGAAGACTCACATTCCGGCACACTGACACGACCATGGCATTTCCCTTATCCCTATCACTTTATCCAGATTAGACCAGTGCAAGTTTTTTTTAGACCAGTGCAAGTTGACAGTTCACTCCACCAAAGCGGCCAATGTATCCTTCCCTCCCCTGTGTTGCCCCGGCGACTCACCGGTTTCGCCGGCGTGGACGAGTCGTTGAGGAAGGCGATCAGCTGCTCCTCAGGGTCGGCCCGGCCCGGTCGGCGGCTGGGGGAGGCGGCCGGCGCGCTGCCGTGGGACGGGGTGCGTGCCGGCGTCGGCTGGGACAGAGCCGCGCGGGGCGACGCCGCCAGCCTGATAGCAGTGTGGGAGAGTCAGATGGGATGGGCAGGGCTGCTAGCAGCAGGCATCAGCAATGGCGACTTTGATTATGTTTTAAAAAGGTAGCAAGGCATGCATCATGAACCAGTTATGTAAGTTTGAAAGAAGTCTTCTCAGGAAAATCACCAACCAAAGCAGACATAAAATGTCTGCTGCATCAGTCATTATTTAGTCCATTAGTATAGGTACTTACATAGGTGACACACTCTCTGTGTCATAGCGGTAAGATGGCTTGGAGTTAACTCCATTGGCAGTCTTTGCTTTGGTCAAGACAGATGCTGCACTTTCGTCCAGGGAATTCAGCAGGTTCTCAGTCCTGGAAGCCAGGCCACTGAGCCAGGACATGGCTGTTTCTCCAGTGTACTGTTTTTCTGCTCAGCAATCAATGCTTCTAGGTCATATGGTGACTAGATTGTATGCATGTGGCATGTATTTCAGGAAGTTTGCTTGAAAAGACTCCAAAGAGCAAAAAAGTTAGAAACATATTGGGGACAAAGTACTAACAGACAACAGTATCTCATTAGAATATAATCTTTGCATGCAAACATTACAAAAAAAATCACTAAGCAATAAAAAATGTTTAATTGGTTGCAGTGAGAAGCAGTGCCAAAATAGAAATACAGCCTCTAAAAGTATTAATACACAAATGCCAACTAGAGTTGGAGTTGAGACATGGGTCAAATCTGAAAAAAGGCTGCCTGGGGCGATTTGATCAAAGATCTTGAAATTTGCTTGACCTAATCACGTGACAATTAGCCTGTTGAAGGCAACAGGAGGGGGAGAATATCCCAATAATCATGCGACTAAAAATGCCCTCCGGGCTCTGGCACCATTCTCAGATTCCACAGACAGGCGATGGAGGAGCAAAATGTTTAGTTGGGAGATATTAGTTTGTGGGAAATTAACCTGACTGATTCATGAGATTTCTAATTGTCTACTATTCAACCCAAATTTTCAAGCACATTCGGTAAGTACCTAAGTAACAGTTCAGCGGTCAGCCAGTGTTCCTCTGTCAGAGCATTTTTCTGTATGAGTGTATATTGTCTGTATGGAGCCACCTATATCGTTTTTGGACAAAATCCAAAAATGAAATCATCTGATGGCTTTGTTAGTAACAGATAACGTTAAAAAGACTTAAATCTGTCCAAATTTTATTAATTTCCAAAAACCCGTCCGGCAGACTGGAGTTGCCCACAACAACAACACACTTAAAAACTAAAACCATGAGGGCGTAGGTATATTACTGAGGGTGATAGAAATAGAAAAACGTAATGCTTCGATAACACTCACAGCAATATAAAGAAATAAAAATATAAAGCTGCTTTACGTGTCTGAGAGCTCACGAAATTGAAATGATAGCGCGCCACTTTGACTTGCTAACAAAATTTGGATTGCATTGAATGTAAATTTCTTTTACGTCATTAGAACAAGCGACTCGCTCAGCAGCCGGCAACATAAAAATCTTCTTTTATCTCTCTGTTCAGTGAAATTACGAGCTAATATTTGAGAAAGGGCTTAAACAAATTATTGAATCCTCAAATATATCTTTGTTCCAGAAATAAAAGCAGCATACCATATAAATCATAAAATTCAGTAGTAAGGTTCAATGACGTCATCAACGACATACCGAGCTTACATACATGCTCCCATTTATCATTTGGGAAAGTACCGTAAAATGACAACGTAAACAAGCAGACGTCAACGTAGGTTAGGTAGCGTCGGTAGCGTAGCTGTAGCCTCTGTAGCCTTGGGGCGCTTACGGTTTGAGCAGGTTCAGGTTGCGGTATTCGAGGCGATATCTATAGACTTACGCCGCATTCGATGTCCCCCGGACGAGGAAGATTCAAATCTATTCTACGTCGTCCGGCCAAGGTCCGGCCAATGGCGTTCGATAACCGCAACTCAGCCCCCGTCGCCGCGGCCCGCCGTCGACATCGACCGTCATTGCAGCGGGACGGCATGTGTACTTACCACTTCTTACAACGAATCCGGCCTTAGTTAGGACCGTTTGGGGGCTTAATTTACAATTGAATACTCTTTGATGCCTTTGATCTAGCAGCTGGTCAGGGTGAAATCGTAAAGCTTACAGGTTGAGGTATTTTTATGGAAGGCTGAAGTTGAGCCTCTTCCTATTTAGCTCTCGTGCCCCCTGGCCTCTAACTCTTCTCCCTTCCCTTTCTCTTCTATCTGTCCCTCTCCTCTCTCTCTCTCTCTCTCTCTCTCTCTCTCTCTCTCTCTCTCTCTCTCTCTCTCTCTCTCTCTCTCTCTCTCCCTCTCCCTCTCCCTCTCCCTCTCCCTCTCCCTCTCCCTCTCCCTCTCCCTCTCCCTCTCCCTCTCCCTCTCCCTCTCCCTCTCCCTCTCCCTCTCCCTCTCCCTCTCCCTCTCCCTCTCCCTCTCTCTCTCTCTCTCTCTCTCTCTCTCTCTCTCTCTCTCTCTCTCTCTCTCTCTCTCTCTCCTTCACCTCCCGATCTTCTCTTTCTCTTCTTTTTCCTTCCTCGACGCCGCGGCCACGTAAGCCTTTTTACAGCGGGTTACTTGCTGATGGGTTCGGTTGAATTATTACACAGCCTGAGCTGTTCGGTTGTTGCTTGTGTACCTACCTACGTAATGTGTATTAGACGACGCGTACTTCGACTCACGGTGTCTGGCGCCAGCCGATTGTGTACGTATATCGGAACGCCTTATGTAGTCCTGCATCGGACCATGAAGGGCTACATATACCGAGGATGACCTTGGCCGCACCTTGCAGATTGTCCTCTCTGCCGACTGTGCCGGCTGAAACACTAGTCTCGATCGTCCCGGCCGCGGGCAGGGCAGCTACCTGATCTGTGACGTGAGTGACTTGACCAGCCTACTGCGGTGACTGGGACTGTGTCTGCTGAGGCACCTACGACTTTGAACCGGGGGTTCACGGACCGTTCGGGGCTGCGTCACAACCCCCGACCCTGCCTTAGCCCGGAGCAGACTGGCGGCGCTCCTAGTTGGGCCAGGTGGCGCTGTCGGCGCCGGGGTCGGTCTACTCTTCACCTGGATGAGGCTGCAGCCGCCGCAGAGCTTATGCCCGGAGAAAATTGGTCGCCCGATCAAGCAACTCGTCGACCACTTCAACTCTTACATCAGGTGCAGAGAAGTGTGCCACTATGATGCGGAGTTCCAGAAAGAGCTAGGAGCTAGTGCGCAGAGCGCGAACCGGGACGTCGAGTGTTCAATGTAAACAACCAGGCGGCGACAGCCGCCGAAGGCGAAGTGCCGGCAGCGCCACTACGTTACAAACGCTACACAGCTCCTGATTGGGCTAGAGCTTAGATGATGCAAGATTTGAGCTGGCAAAGTCTTCTAGCCTATGTAACCTAACCTGCAGTCGCCAGCAACAGTCCTTCTTTTCTATATCGTTTGCATAATGCATATTGATCTGTTTTGTATTGTTGGGTTCGGTTTTTAAGTTAATTTATTTCGCCCAGGTAAACGGGACAGCACGTGAACTGAAATGAATCCATTCTTTCAGCGCTGGGCACCGAACGTCGTCGTGCCGGCCGACGCAGCGCCCCGTGACGACCCCGGCGGCAACTGGGTGGCTCCTGAGGAAGTTTCTATCGACATGGCATGTCTTGAGACAGCCATTTGTTGTCCAGATACCTGCCGACACCGGCGTGGGTGACCCGGCTAGGTTCATTTATATACATAAACCTCGTCAGGTCACTGCCGTCGGCGGAGCCCGGCCCGCGCGGGTCACAGCCTGCACACAGCTGGTCGGTGCCGGGTCTGGAAGTCGGTCTTCCAGAGGACTGGTATACCTTGGGATTCGACGCCTCCCAGATTCGGCCAGCTGCCCTGTGGCATTCCTCGTCTCCCTTAGAATTACAACGCCTTTGTTGGTGTACGCGAGGAAGACGAACAGGAACTGACGATCTGTCTGGCCATCCTGCGAGCTGGACTAACCCAAGACTAACCAACCTGATCGAGATGAGCAGGGTCGTGTCCCCGGGCAGCTTTGTCCTCGCTTTGACCTCGTGCCGCGTTCGGCGATGTCAGCGTTCCTAAGAAGAGCCTTCGCCACTGCGTTATGACCGTCGAGCTTCGTGTTGGTAAAGTGTTCCCGACTGAGCTGCTGGGGAACGTAGCCAACGCCGATGGCCACACCGAGGTCAGGCCGGCGGCAGCCCAAGACATGTCGTAGGATGTCAAGACAGCCCATGGGCTGCCGGCGTGGCGCTTGATCAGGCTGTCCAGGACATGATTCTGGGTATCTTCCCGGTGCCGGGGTCGCTACCGAAGTGGTGATGACCACTGCGCACACCGACAGAAAGGTAAGCTTGAATCACGGACATATGAATACGACAGCAACGTTTGTGACTGGAGCCTAGTGTTGAAGCTTGTTTTGTTTCCTTTGGTTATGTCGGTCACATTTGTATCGACATTTAACAGTTATTAGCGTTTTTAAATGAAAATGTGTCATAAACGTGCACGTCTTTTACGTCTCACTCATATGCTTCAATAGAATTAGCAATGCATGTAACTACTAAAAATGCATGCGTCTTTTTCCAGGCGTCCTGCCCTCATTCCGATTCCACCTGTTCATCGCTCCCCGGCAGGGTTGAGCCGGAGCTCGATAAGGTAAGTGTCGCAGGGGGCATCCCATAGGCGTCGCCAGAGATTTTCGGTTGGGGGGGGGGGGCAAAATCAACTTTTGTGTTAAATCTTGCCTTCCTCCAGTCGTTACTCATTCATTTTACATATCATTCAACGCGCAATGGTGCGAGGAATACGATGGTGACAAGGTTTTCCTTGTGGCTATGACTTGCCATTTTTTTACAGAAAATTTAATTTTTTTTAAATTTTTGAACAAAAAACGACCGGTAGAATCACAATGGCTGCGCTTGCCGACGCACTCTGGAGAGCCCCTGTGCAGACGCTCGTCGCTCATGATCATAAAAAGGTTAAACGCTCAGCTTAAGCGAATCACCTTGCTGAAACTTTCATTCACGCATGCATGCAGAGGTTCTACGTAAAATGCATAGGGCTTATCCCAACCGCCGATTGAAGCTAAGTAGGGCTTCAGCGGAGAGTGAAAGTCGGAAGTGTGAATCGGAAGTAATTCATCTTTGCTCCAGTGAGAGGAGGTGTAGTGTGAACAAAAAGTTTCTCGTTTTTCGTGTGTAGGGAAGCGCTGCAAACGCGAAGAAAAGACGTTTAAAGGGACACTCCCACCTTAACATTAGTTTTGAGTTGAGATAGCCAAATTGGTGGCCATGGCCTGCAAATACCGGTTTGGGCACTCACAACATCGAAAAATGCTTTAATTCGAAGATATGGAATTTCAAACTTGCAGTTTTCGGATTCTAAGGGGCTAATGCATTGGAATGCCCCCTTAGAATTTGTGGCGTCATCGGAGATCTAACGATTTTTAAATCTCAGACTAAAACCATCGTTAACACGTGGTGGTATACGCTGCTTTGCGCGCAACGTCTGCCGCACTTTAAGGCTGCCAAATTATTGCTTCCAAATAAAGTCGCTAGTAACAGGGGAGATCCCAAAAAGTAAACAAAAGTAAAAGCCTAATATCTTGTAAACCAGTGAATATTTTTCGGTGAAATTTGGTAGATATTCGTTTTCGCTCTTTCTGAACCAAGGGACATCACTTTCATGCCAATTCATTAACTTTTTTGAAGGTGGGAGGGTCCCTTTAAAGGGACCCTCCCACCTTCGAAAAAGTTTATGAATTGGCATGAAAGTGATGTCCCTTGGTTCAGAAAGAGCGAAAACGAATATCTACCAAATTTCACCGAAAAATATTAACTGGTTTTCAAGAAATTAGGCTTTTACTTTTGTTTACTTTTTGGGATCTCCCCTGTTACTAGCGACTTTATTTGGAAGCAATAATTTGGCAGCCTTTAAGTGCGGCAGACGTTGCGCGCACAGCAGCGGATACCACCACGTGTTAACGATGGTTTTAGTCTAAGATTTAAAAATCGTTAGATCTCCGCTGACGTCACAAATTCTAAGGGGGCATTCCAATGCATTAGCCCCTTAGAATCAGAAAACTGCAAGTTTGAAATTCCATATCTTCGAATTAAAGCATTTTTCGATGTTGTGAGTGCCCAAACCGGTATTTGCAGGCCATGGCCACCAATTTGGCTATCTCAACTCAAAACTAATGTTAAGGTGGGAGTGTCCCTTTAACGGAACCAAAATTTCGCACGGCATAGCGGCAAGGGTTCCTTTAGCGATAGGCTTGGGACTTCCAGGCCATTTTAGGCCACTCAGGGTCAGTGTGGGCTCTCAGAAGCCTGCTTAGGATCCTGAAAATCGGCGCTGGTCACCCCAAATAGTTACGTGTACATATGTGGTGCTTTAGGGCTTTCCGAGCCCAAGGTGGGACCCTCAGAAGCCAGTGTGGGCGGCGCCGGCGGCGGGCGCTAAGAGACCAGGCCCAGGGTGAGCAGGGAGCCCTCAAATAGCAGTGTGAACCCTGGAGGTCTGTGTCGAATCCCTAAGGACCCTACATAGGGACATAGGTAAGAAACATGTGCTGGGACCCTCAGAGGCACACCCGAGTCGTGACCCCTAAACTGCAGGCTTAGGCTCAGCAAAATCTGTCGCCTCAAAAGCTCGGCTGAGCTATCAGAGGCCTAAGGTTCTCAGAAATATTTAAAAGTATCCTCAAAGATCCGTGTGGCCCTTCAGAGGTCTACGCATGTGTAAGGTCCTCAAAGATTCCTGTATGGGCCCTCAGAGAATATGAACACCAGTGGGACTCTCAGAGGCCGGTTTGGGCCCTCTGAAGGCTTCTTAGAGCTCAGTGGAGCTCCTTCGGAGCCTGTGTGAAAAGCAAGCAGTCATGAGCCCTGTGGCACTTGAACGGTACTTGAGTCTGTCGCAGACATTTGACGAGAGTTGAGAAAGGCCCGAAGATTCAGTGTCACGCTTTGAACGCAAATTTTGTATCAGCACTTCAAAACTTATGAAAATCAGCTATAAAATGTAATAAAAAACCGACGAGGAACATGAAATGAATCACAGTATTGACACTTCCGAGTCTGGAGTCGGTGTTTTGACGATGTTGGCGACTGCGACTCCGACTCTGGCTTGAACGAGTCTGACCTCACAGGCATTCTCAGAAAGGTACCCCCATTTTTTCCCGACTCCAAAATCTCATCGGATCTGTATCGATCTCAGGGGGTGCCCGGTCCGAGGTTGGGGGGCAAGCTGCCCCGCTTGCCCCCCCGTGGCGACGCTAATGGGGCATCCACCTGTCCATAATACCACGCCACCCACCATATACCTACTCAAGATGTCCCCTGCCTTACTCCGGTCACTGGTCATTGGTCACACTGAAGTGCAATAAACAATCTGGTCACTGTTTAAGTCAAATTATACACAGGGTCAGTCGCATTCAAGTCGGCAAAGGTTAAACCCGATCGTCCCAGGGTTTGTGCTTCTATTGGAGCAGCCATCTACAGTGGCTGGCTGCCTCAGTCAGCTCTGAAGTTGAATTATGCTTAAAGGAAATAGTTCACTTTCACGAAATTATTTTTTTTTTTGCAACGGATTTATGATTTTTTATGTTCAAAATAATCAGCAAAGAAAATAAAACCTTTTTATAACAAAAGATTATTTTCTATATTTTGATATAGGAAGAACTTTTCAGTTTCTGTAAGGCACACGCGATCCAGTATGAAAAGAGCATGGGTCCCGAAAATTCTTCAGAAACAGAGAAATTATCGCAGCCACCGGCATTTGGGCGATCTGCTCGATCTGATAATGTTCCCCTGAATGTCCTAATTGATCAGTACGAGAATTTCTCTAGAGTTCTCGTAGATAATTTCTCTAGTTTCTGAAGAATTTTCGGGGCCCATGCTCTTTTCATACTGGATGGAAATATATGCAAGGCACACATCCTCAACGCAAGACACCTTTTTCGGGACGAGAAATAGAATATCTTTGCCTAGGGTGATCGTTGGGCTGTAAAAGCTCCTGATTTATGCTCGTTTCAGCCCAAGCTACGGAACTGCTATTCCAGTTAAAAACCCATGTTAAAAAGTGAACTATTTCCTTTAAAGATTATGATGGGCTGGCTCTGTATTTCTCCTAACCTAACCTCTTGAATCGATAGGACTGCTCAGAACAGAGCGGCTCTATCGACCCCCTTCCTGTCCGTATCGTCGGCCGGCTTTCGTCGCTATCACCCTCCTCAGTGCCGGGGACCGGTGGCCGATTCTAGAGCAACCCTCGCCGTCCGATAGGACTGCCGAGAGCGGCGCCGGGGCGAGCGGGTCAAGGTGACGGGAGGGGTCCTCCTCCCTCTCTCCTTCCTCCCCACCCTCTCCCCACCCCGCCCCGCCCCGCCAGGTGTGTGTGAGGTAATGCCCGGGGTGTCGGCCGCCCCAGGCTGACAGTTTGGTAACCAGTAACCACATGGGTCTGGGGTTGGCCGCACAGGTCAGGTGCGGACGAACCCGACTCCTTCCGTGAGAGCGGGACTGTCTTCAACTCAACGCAGCCGGGTCAAATTTACATTGAATTGAATTGGTTGTTATTTTTCAGGCTTTACTGTACTGCGATAATTCTTTGGCTTCCTATATGATGTACATTTAGTATTTACTTTTCTATTGACTTCGGTTATTTCCTTGACCTTGGTCATTGGTGGTTAAGAACATGCAAACCCGGAATCGCTTATCTCTGCGTACGCACCGGCATATCTATCAAACATGAAACGCATAAATCTCCGGCGGAACCAAACTGCGGTATTCATGAGGAGCGGCGTTCCTGGAACATCTCCTCGTGCCCACCGTATGCCCCTGATGAGCTCTGTCGGTGCGGCCGTCTCTCCCGGTCGGCGGTGACGGGTGCCCGGGCCGCCGGGTACCGGTCGCTGAGCGGCAGCCGATCCGTCATCGCCCGCCCGGCAGTGACCCTGACCCGGCGCCGGCCGCCGGCGACGGTAGCGAGTCGTTAGTGCGACCACCGCGCCGGAAAACCGACCGAGTTCGGCCTTCAGACGGCGGCAGACACGCTGCAACTGCAGACCCCGGCGGTAGCTACGCCGGTAGGGGTGTGTGGGGAAGGGGGAGAGGTTGTCTGCGAGAGGCTCAAGTTGCAATTGCACACTCAGCCGGTAGCGACGCTGGTACAGAGGGTGCCAGGGTCCATGCGTGGGCCTTGAAGTCGATGAATGAAACCCACACTGGCTCAACACGAGCGCGATATTATTCAATGAAGTGAACGAGCAGCTAAGTGATGCGCAAATGTGCGGCTTTATCGTGCAGTAAATTTGTATAATTAAATGTCATCATTGTCCTTGTGTCAGAAAACAATAAATGTAAAAGGATACGCAGAAGCTATGGGCATGCGGCTTCCCCGCGAGATCATTTCGGCTTATCTTTGTCAGAGCTACAATAGAAGCTGAAATGTTGCCTGCATCGTCAGCCTCATATCTCACGATACAGGGATATCTGTAGAAAATTATTTTATTTCATTCATTATTTTGTGCCGTAGTGGCTCACTTCAGTTAACCCATTTGGGGATATCCTCCGTCTCACATTATATTATTTTAATCCAAATAGAAACCGAACGATAATATGGAGGTGGAATACAAAGGAGATCATTGATCGCAA